AGGCTCAGAGTATGACAGATTCAGTGCTGAATTCTACAAGAAATTTAGAGAAGATCTGATGCTGCTATTTCTCAAACTCTTTAATGAAATTGAAAGGTAAGCAATAAATACTCCCAAATTCATTCCTGTAATCAAGCATTACCCTGATACCAAAACCAGAGAAAGATCCAACCAAAAAAGAGAACTATAGGCCAGTCTCTCTAATGAACATAGATGCAAAAATCCTCAATAAGATACTGGCAAACAGAATGCAGCAAATCATCAAGAAGATTATATACCATGACCAAAAATGTTCATCCCAGGGATCCAGGGATCAACATATGCAAATCAATAAATGTAATACACCATGTTAACAGAGCCAAGGACAAAAAGCATATGATCATCTCAAAAGATGTAGAAAAAGTGTGTGAAAAAGCCCAACACCCATTTATGATAAACACCATACAGAAATTTGGAATAGATGGTCTTTTGTCTCAATTTGATAAAAGCCATCTGTGACAAACCAATAGCCAACATCATACTAAATGAACAAAAACTAAAAGCTTTCACTCTAAAATCAGGAACAAGACAAGGATGTCCACTGTCACCACTCATTTTAAATATAGTTCTGGAAACATTAGTCAGAGCACTTGGACAAAAGAAATAAAAGGAATAAGGATAGGAAAGGAAGAAGTTAAATTATCATTGTTTGAGGATGACATAATACTTTACATAGAAGACCCCAAAAACTCCACCAAAAGACTTCTAGATTTAATAACCAAATTCCTTAGCACAGCTGGATACAAAGTCAACACTCAAAAATCAGTAGCATTCTTGTTCACAAATAACAGACTCACTGAGTGCGAAATTAGGGAAACAACACTTTTCAGAATAGCATTCAAAAAAATGAAATACCTAGGAATCAATCTAATGAAGGAAGTAAAAGACCTTTACATGGAAAACTACAGTACTCTGAAAAAGGAGATTGAAGAGGATTCATAAAATGGAAAGATATCCCTTGCTCATGGGTAGGAAGAACCAACATATCATTATGTATATCTAAAGTGTACCAGTAAAAAAAATAAAAAAATTTTTTTTCAAAGAGGAAAGAAGTCAAACACATCTTAAAATTAAGCCTCAATGTAATACAGTATTTGGAGGTTTGTGCCATATATAATATCATTGTCTTTATGTGTTCAAATTTATAAATCATACTTCCAGGAAGCCACATTCTTTTTAAGAGAATTGACTGTATTGGGATTCATTGCATCCCATTTGCATGTGATTTATAACTATATAATTTGTTGAAAAGGCTTAACAATTTAGGTGCCATTTGACTGCCACTGAAATAACCAATAAAATATTTTAAAAACTCAACCTTAGTAATTCACTTATTTAACAAATATATATGAGGAGATTACTATTTGTTAGCTCTGTTCAGGTACCAGAAAATAAAGCCAATATAAACATACATGTACGGGTATGGCATTTCTCTCGAAAAAATGTAGAAATGAGATTGCTTGGACAGACAGCTTTCTATAAAAATAAGTTGGTTTACTTTTATATAGAAAACATCTGCCCAATAGCTTTTAAATCATTTCACATTTTCACCAGCTATGTATAAAAGAGTTCCAGATTCTCCAAATCCTTGGCATCACTTGGTATAGCCATGCTGGGGTTGGGTTTTTTCCTTTGTTTTGTGTCGGGAGCAATTCTACATAATTTTGGGGAAAAATCATTTCACAATTAAATTATGATTAGGCCTAGTTTTCCTGCCTGCAGGCTGGCTATGGCATGTCAAGACATAACTCCATTTTTGCCTCCGGTCACAGCTAAAACCTCAATGGTCCCATGATCCTGTGATGCTCCAGAGAAGAATTACATCAGCTAAAGACATCCTGGGGAGGGACAAATTCCTAATCAACATACCTTCCTCATCAAAATAAGATCTTTTTCTGCATAAATTCCTTATTGTCCTAGTAAAGTGGTGCTGCCTTCTGAGTTATCTGTTACTCCCAATGTACTGAATAGAGATGTAGCAAGCTTGGGATCCTTCATGTTTGCTGCCCAGAACAGCACTGATCAGGCCCAAAGCTCAGCTTCTCTAAGTCTCGTTTCCTTTCTTTATTAATTAATTCACCTTGTGCCATCATGGCTCACAGGAGACCAGGACTCACTGCAGGGGTTCTGGTAACATCCCCTTACCCTGCTCCTTAAAGTTTTCTTTCTTTCTTTCTTTCTTTCTTTCTTTCTTTCTTTCTTTCTTTCTTTCTTTCTTTTTTGTTCCTTACAGTTTTGTTTGATTTTGTTTTTTGCCATTCTCATGAGTGGGTAGTGCATCTCACCATGACTTGCATTTCTCTAATGGCTAACAATGTTGAACATCTTTTCATATGCTTGACTGCCATCCACTTGTTCTCTCTGATAAAGCATCTACTGAAATCTCTTGCCCATTTACAAAAAACAATTGTTTTCTTACTGTTAAATTCTAAGAGTTGTTTATACAAACTAGATACAAGATTTTAGTCAAGTATGTAATTTGCAAAGATTTTCCCCTATAATCTCTTCTACAAGTTTTGTAAGTTTACATTTTGCATTTATCTATAATCTGTTCTGAATAAATTTTTGCATATGGTACCATGTATGGGGTTAAGATTCATTTTGTTATACATGAGTATCCAATTGTGCCAGTATCATTTAATAAAAATACTATCCGTCTTCCATTAAACTGTATTTGCATATTTGTCAAAAATCAATTGAACACGTAAGCACTGTAGTATGCACCTGTATTCTCAGCTATTCTAGAGGCTGAGACAGGAAGATCACTTGAAGCTATAAGTTCGAAGCTAGTCTGGGCAACATAGCAAGAACCTATCTCACAAAAAACAACAACAACAACAAAAACGCCACAAAAGTGAAAAATTAGTAGGACCTCAGAAATGGCTGAATAAGGAGCTTGACAAATCTCCCACAAAAAGCAATGCTAAAACTAGACAAAGTTATCAAAAATGATCACTTAAAGACTGGAAATTGACCTAGGTAGGAGGATTGCAAGTTTAAGACCAGTCTGGGCAACTTTGTGAGATCATGTCTCAAAATAAAAAAATAAAAAGGGCTGCAGATGTAGCTCAGTAGCTCAGCACCGTTAGGTTCAACCCTCAATACCATGCACAAAAAAAAAAGTAAATAAATAAGTAAACAAAATCTTATTTGAATATGGTAGGGTAAAATCAGTATTTTCCCCTTCTTTCCAAAATCATCCAAAAACAAAGAGCAAGACAAACTGAAAGAAATCTCTAATTTTCATGAAACTAGGAAACATCTATAACCCAAACCACAAAACAGGTGAAAAGCTTGTCCAAGTGTAAATCAGAGATGTGGAGGGATACAACTGAGAAAACACACACTCAGGGCTACAAGCTCACAAACCATCAAAGTACATTTCTTCTGTCTGCTGGCCAAAGAGAAAATTCTTTGTGTACTTCAACTGAGGCACACAAACAGGGAGATTCTCTGTTGGTTACATGCAGTAGTAGATAAGTGCAAACAAACAGGAAATCAGACAAAACAGTCATATTCATAGAAAGCAATTTCTGTGTGTGTGTTTGTGTGAGGGGTAAAAAGGGCAACTTGGGCCAAGGATTTAGCCCAGTGGCACCATGCCTGCCTCGCAAGCACAAGGTCCTGAGTTCGATCCCTTGTACCGGAAAAAAAAAACAACAAAAAACTAAGAAGGTCAACTTTGCGAATAGACCCACTGTGGCCTTACAGGCTGGGGAAATGGTAGTAGCTAAAATAATCCTCTCAGTCCTACAAAACACAACCTTGAATCAAGAGAAAAATTCCAACTGGTCTTGTATCCAGCACAAGAATAAGAGGACCATAAAAATATTTACTAAGTATTGTTTGTACAAGCTAAAATTTTAAGTCAAATAATATCCATCAACAGAAAAATAGATAAATTCTGGCATCAGTCTAAGAACAGACCATTAAAATATGCTGGAAAAATGAACTAGATTATGTACATGAAATCACATGGTTAGAACTTGAAAACACTGTTAAACAAATAAAACAAGTTGAGGAATGATACACATAATGTGATGTTTGGTTTTTTTTTGGTACCAGGGATTGAACTCGGGTCCTTGTGGTTGTGCAGCAGGCAGCAAAACCACTGAGCTAAATCCCCAGCCCTATGTGATGTTTATATAAAGCATAATGTCAAGTCAAAATAATTGTATAATCTTAGGTAAATAGCACCAAAATCTGTATAATAGTTATCTTTAGATTTGGAATACCATTGCTTCTCGGTCTTTTGGCTAAGATCAAGTGTAGATTTGGAATATCTGTAGTATTCCATTTCTTTTCTAAAACTCTGAAGCAACTATAGCAAAAATGTTAGGATAGGTATTTATTACATTTTCCTCTGTAAGTTACCCACTGTGCTTGTCTTTGGAACTCAGCCCCCATATTGTGAGAAACCCCAAACCAGTTCATGTGGAAAGTCCTCCCTAACAGGTCCACGTAGAAAGGAGTTAACATGTCCAGTCTACAATTAGTCAAATACCGGACATCTAAGTGAATGAGGCTTCAGAAGATTCTAATTCCAGCCCTGAATCTTTCAGCTGAAGCCCCAGACATTAGGCAGAGACAAGCTGTTCTTGGGATCCAAATACTTGGTTCACTCATCAGCATAAATTAATGGTTATTTTATGACACTACGTTTTCGGATAATTTAAGACTAGGAAAACAGCTGGGCGTAGAGGTGCACACCTGTAATCCCAGCACTAGGAAGTTGAGCCAAGATTGTTGTAAACTCAAGTCCAGCCTGAACTACATAGTGAGACTCTGTCACAAAAATCAGACAAACAAAGTTCAAGGAAACAGAACATCCAAATATTAGGATTAACTAAAAAGAAAAATATTTGCGGTACTTACAGCATTTCAGACCTATTCATTAAATTTATAAAACTGCTGTATAGCTGTAAACTTCTCTTTGTTTAGTAATGTGGACAGCTTCTTACCTCTAAACTTCCAGAATGTGCTGCCCAGTGTAAAGGAGTAAACTTATGGAGAACATCAACTTCATTAATGCTGGCTCCACGTTCCACCATCTCTGAAAGCTGTTTTATATCTCCGGCTCGTACTGCATCATGGATGCTACCGAGACTCACCTTCTTCCTGGAACCTATTCATAAATTAAACTGTTTAATGTAACATAGAACTATGAAAAGACTACAGCAATGATTTAAGAGAAAGCATAAAATCATGTCAGATTTTCAAATAATTTGCTACAAAGACATTGCAATTAGCATCTTAACCAGACTTCTAGTTTTAGCTCTGATATGTAAAGCTCATGAAGACTGACACACTTATCCTTACAAGAAAAAAAAACTGAATGTATTGAAAACCAACAACCTTTCTCAGACTCACCAAAGAACTGAGGTCTCTGGGCAAACTTCCCTCCCAAATCTGGAGAGACAAGCAAGTACAGACAAATGTAGTCAAGTTCACCTTAAACCTGGAGCAAAAGCTGCTGTAGCCATAAAATGACAGAAGCACCTGAATGGTAATTCTGATTATCCAGGCTGAGTATATAACCAACCTAAAATGGGAAAGTCCTGAGGCCTGTAGTCTTGGAAAGCCTACACTTTGATATATTTTACCTTCAGAAACCCATCAAGATATTACTATAGGGCCAGGGATTTAGCTCAGAGGTTCTGCCGCCTGCCTTGAAAGCACAAGGTCCTGAGTTTGATCCCCGGTACCAAAAAAAAAAAGATATGGACCGGGGATTTAGCTCTAGTGGTTCTGCTGCCTGCCTCGCAAGCCCAAGGTCCTGAGTTCAAGCCCTGGTACCGCAAAAAAAAAAAAAAAAAGATATCACTATAAAAAGCTCATGTCTTTAGCAGGGGTTGGGAAGCAACAATTTTGCAATATGCTCAGTGTATTCTTTATAACAAAAGCCTACTCTCCCTGGAAAAAAGATTCACTAGAGCCTTATGTCACATACACAGATGTAGTTTATCAATACTTTCCTTATCATTTTTTTTTTTTTTTTGCTACCAGGGATCCAACTTGGGACCTTGTGATTGCAAGGTAGGCGGCAGAACCACTGAACTAAATCCCTGACCCTTCTTATCATTCTAATTCATATGTCTTATAATAAGAAAGGAATGGCAAGTAATGTTTTGGTTCATATACTCTAGTGATTTATATTTTTAAAAGATTTTAAGAGTAGGAAAATTTATTGAGGAACACGAATAGCTCCCGAGAGACAGGAGGGGTCTCAAGTGGGTTGCCATATATATCCCAGTTCAACAGGACAGGTTTATTGCAAAACAAACCCGAGAGGGACCACTCTGTCACTGGACACCAGACCAGCTGGTCTCCTAGAGACTATGGGGTCTTTTTCAAGATCACGGGGATGGGGGACTTCAGTGAGAGAGGCCTGTGGCTCCCAAGCGAGCTAGGCTTGAGAGAGCACAAGGGGTAATGGTGGCAGAGGACACAGCTTGGGAAGCACAGGGAGCAGGGTTGCTCTTAGCATCAGGGCTGATCGTGTTGTGAGTTCCCAGGTGCAGCTGTGCTGGGAGCGGCGGTTTAGAGGGGTCTCTGATCAGGATGGTGGTGGTCGGATTCCTTCAGAAACCATTATAATTTAATGTTATAAGCATCAGGAGTACATTGTCAAGCTTACTGACAAGTACGCGTGAAATATTTTAATGTGCTTTGTGAACCGGAAGCAGTAAGCTATCTAAGCATGAACAATTACTGAAGGAGCAAGAAGGGATAAATAGTTCAATTGAAACATTCCCTAAACAAAACAAAACATAATAAAACAATGATTCCTGGGCTGGGGATGTAGCTCAGTGGTGCCACGCCTGCCTGGCAAGAGCAAGGTCCTGAGTTCAATCCCAAGGGGAAAAAAAAAAGGATTCTTGACCTCAAGTTGTCTTGAAAACAATTAAGAAATACTTCTAGAAGATAATCTATGCAAAGTTGTACTACTGTGTGTGTGTCCGTTCTCATGCTATAATCAGAATGTTAATTCATTTTCTTTATCTTTTTTCTCACCTCTTTCTTGATTTCCGGAGCTCTTTTATTTCTCACTTCAGAATAGTTTCTTCTTTGGTACCCTGATTCTTCTTACTTACAGAATCACATGACAAACAGGAATATGATAAATACTTCTATTCCTCTATCCTACCTAGAAACTTTTTTTTTCTTTTGGTGACAGGTCTTGTTTTATTGCTCAAACTCTGGGGCTCAAGCAATCTTCCTGCCTTAGCCTCCCAAGTAGGTGAGACTAGAGGCACAGGCCTGGAAGAATGTTAATTTCTTAAAGGCTAGAATCATGTTATATTAAAATCATATCTTATACCAAAACAGTATATATGATTAAAAAATCCTTCCTAAGTTATGGACCAGGCACTATGATAATACAATAGAAAATAAGACATGGATATAATACATTTTTTTTCCACCAACACTTCAGTATCTATTTGGATAAATACAACAGAAACACTTTCTGGGTATGGTGGCACAGGCCTATAATCCCAGCACTGGGGAGGCTGAGGGAGGAAAATTGTTCCAAGTTTGAAGTCAGCCTAAGCTACGCAGTGAGTTCAAGGCCAGCCTGAACTACATAGAAGACCATGTCTCAAAAACAAAACAACTGACAGCAATGTCCTCAAAGAGTATAAGTAAAATTAAGGAAAAGGAGAAATCAAAGACATCACAGAGGAGGAGAAAACGTGATCAATTAAGATATATGCATATGGGGAGGGGAGCAAGGAAGGCACACACACTTAATAAGTGTTTAATGATATTAATCCTCTGGGTCACACCTCTATTCTTTTCCTTTAAACTAGTATAGCCAGATCTATAAATAGTGTTTTACCAACCATTCTGGTCACTTCAGGCCTCTATTCCAAACTGCTACTGGTTAGGCACTGTTAGTCTACAGAATGAAGTCCAATGTCCCACCATGTCCCACCATAACTTGGGTTCATCTAGTTTTATGGCCCACTTCTCATTAATTTGGTATCTACCATAAGGATAAAAAGATAATACATGATCACCATCCTTAGGAACTCACAGATCAGTGGAAAAGAAAATACAAATTATAAAATAATATGGTAAAAACAGTAACAAAAATAGTCATAAGAATGTACAGAAGCACAAATTACTTTTTTTTTTTTTTTTTTTTTTTTTGAGACAAGATCTTGCTCTGTAAGTCAGGCTGGGTTTGAATTCACTACACAGCCCAGGATGGCCTCAAACTCAGGGCAATTCTCCTGCCTCAGCCTCCCAAGTGCTAAGATTACAGGTGTGCACTACCACACCCAACAGAAGCACAAATAACTTCTAACTCTGCTAGGGCAGGATGGAAGGGAACAGAAAAAGATTCCTGGAGAAGGTAACACTTCTAAGATAAACCCTCAGGTATCACCAAGCATTTATCAAGTAAGGTGGAAGCAATGAAAGGCACCCTAAAACAGAATGAACATCAGGATGTGGTCAAAAAAGCCACACAAACAAAAAGTGCTATTGCTGAAGCATAAAGTGGAAGAAGAAGCTAGAACCAGACAATAGACTATAGTGGAAATTATAAAAAACAGAAAAATGACAACAATTTAAAAAACAGACTTCATGAGACAGTGGAGATTGTCACTGAGGATTTTAAAACAGAAGAATTATAACAATCAGATTTAGAACTCTGCGTTTACATGACTTGGCAATGAGGGAAATATATGACTGGGGAGCAAAAAGGCAAGACAGGGAAGCCAGTAAGAAGATAATTAGAACAGTCTAGACCAGAAAGTTTGAGAGCTGGAACTCACAGGGCAATGGAACAGAAAAGGAGATGGAGTCAATATACATTACAGGAAATAGTATGTACTGAACTTGGATGGACATAATGGATGAAGTAAGAGTAATGGGATAACTCCAAGCTGTCTGGCTTAGTCACTTGAGTGCTGTGGTGCCACTAATTGAGATAGGAAACTCTGCAGAACAGGAAAGACATATGAATACAAATTACATTTTGGCTAAATTGATCTTGGAGTGCTCATGGAAGATGGCGGGAATGGAGATGTAAACGTAAGTCTGCAGCTCAGAGGAGAGATGTGGAATTCAAGTCTTAGGGCTAGTTCTTTCTCAATATTAGAAAGCTTTTTCTGACCCTATCCTCACCCCATACAAGGGACTTTACTGTCCTTTACAACACTTAGCATACCGATCGTCATTTGCTGAAGTGGGCTGAAGTGAGAAACAGTGTGGCAAAACCAAGGGCCAACAAAACAGTCCGACTCACACGACTTTGCAGTCTCCCTAGAGGAAGTGGAGGGGCCCGAATTGGCCACCTCAGGCATGGTGAGCAGAGCTGAGTCCAGGCCCCTGCTGTGGCGGCGGTCTTCACTCACGTTCACCCATGGGCCACTGCAACGACAGCGGCCGTCTTCGTCATCCCTAGGACGCGGGCCACGGTTGTCCCCCCTTCTTGCTCTCTCCCAAGACCCCCTAGAGCAAGAAACTTCGTCTTCACTCTCTCTCTCTCCCAGAAGCCACGAAGGCGGCGGCTGGCGTCTTCGCTGACGCTCACCCCAGAGGAGTCGCTGGCCTCGTAGCCACGGTCTTCACTTACTCGGTCCCAAGACCTACTGTGGCAGAGGCTGCCATCGACACCCTCTCCCTCCCAAGAACCACTGAGGCGGCAGCTGCGGTCGTTATTGATCCTGTCGGCGCAGTCACTGGTTCGGGTGCCTTGGACTTCACTGACTCCTTCCCAAGTGCCAGAGGGGCGCAGGACGCGGTCTTCTCTGACTGTTTGCCCGGAGTCGCTAGTTTGTGGGCCACCAACTTCACTTAAATCCACGTCACTGCTGCAGAAGCCGCGGTCTCCCCTCACCCTCACCCAAGAGCCACCATCGTGGCTGTGATGGTGGCCACCATCTCCCCTGACTCTCTCGTGAGATCCTCTGCGGTAGTGGCCTACGTCTTCACCGACTCGAGTTCTCAAGTCCCTGCGGGAGAAGACGATATCGTCACCTACTTTTCCTGAGAAAACCCTCCAGCGGCGGTCGCCGTCTTCACGTTTTCCTTCCCTGTCCTCGCTACGAAAATATCCTTGGTCTTCAACGCTTTCTCAGGACTCGGCCCCGCGATGACGGTATCGGCCGCTTATCTTCCACACATAGTGGCTAGTGTGGTGGCGGCCGTCTTCGTTTACTGCTCCCCACGAGTCGCTGTGGCGGCGGCCGCCGTCGAGAAGTATCCTGTCCTCCAAATTGCTTTCCAGTGTCCCAACTCCAGCCACCAGGAGGGAGTGATGCCGGAGCCGTCGCCTCGGAAACAAGTAAACTTCCGGCGTCTTTCGGTCATTTCCGGATCCTCGCGGCTTACGTCATTTCCTCCTTTTCCTTTCACCTTTTTCAAGGCTTCGCCCCTAGAGCAGTGGGACTCTGGTATGGACCGGTTTCCTGTGAGATCTTGCTCCGTCTCACAAGATCCTATGCAGGCCTGTATCTGGAACAGCTTGTCATCGATCTCGCCCTCTATCGCTCAGCGACCTAGGAGGCCCCAGGACTGCAGTCTGCGTAGGTGACCTGTGTGGCGCGGGCTGGGCGGGGCCTTTTCGTCCTTGAAAAACCTGGTATACTTTTTCAGTGCTGTTTGGAAGAAAATCTGTTCTCGGCCTGTCGTTTTACAAATATAGAAAAGGACCTAAAAGAGAAGTTAGCAGCTGCACCCTCTGACATTATTGAGTGGTTACTAGTACCAGGCTCTTTGATAATCGTTTGTTAGGGGTTATCCCATTTTACAGGTCGAGACTCAAGATATCAGTAATTTGCTAAGACCAAACGTCAGGTAAGTTGTAAAACGAGATAAAAACACACATCATTAGTCAACAGACTGTTTGAGGTCTGCTGACTTCAAATCAAAGGTTTCTTCACTTTAAACAGTTTGGTCCAAATCCTTCTCCCCAGCCCTACTACTGTGTAACATTCTTCCAATTTACTATTTATTGCAAATACAGTTTGTCACGTTTTGTGCTAGCAGCTGAAAATACAGAAGGTAGTAGGAATTGTGTTCTTCGGTGTCATCATCTACCTTGCTTCCCCTTAGCCCTTTTTTTCCCCACCCTTTTATTACCCTGCCACATAAACCTTCCTTCAGAAATAATAAACTGAAGTCCTGGAAACATAAATTTTTCCATGCTCTTCTACCTTTGTATATGCCATTCCTCCCAGGAACCACCCTCCCCCCCGCCCCGTTTTGTTCTGTGAATATATTGGGCAATTCCTCTGACCCTACCTCATTTCTACTGAGGTACAGTAAGTTGCCTTTCTTTACCATAGCTTTTTGTAATATTAATAACTGCCATTGAGTTTATAAGATCAGTCTGGCACTAAGTGCTCTATATTAGTTTTATTAATGTAATTCTTACTATAACCTTCCAGAATAGGTATTGTTCTTTTTTTTACAGATAGGAGAAAAAAAGCATAACAGTTAATTGCCTGAAGTTACACAGCTAGTTTGTTAATAAGTATCTGAATTAGAATTCCAACCTAGATCCTTGGTTTTGCTGCACATGCTCTTTAAAGTCTGATTTTTCCACAGCCTTAATTAGGTCACTTATCACATTGTATTATAGTTACCTGTTTAAAAAATTGATTCTCACCCCTGACCACACCTCTGAGGATTCGGACCTTCTGGAAGGTAGGTACTCTGATTTATTCATCTTGGCATTTCTAATATCTAGAATATTTACTTCAAGGGAAGGCCTTATTTAATAGATATTGTGTGAGCAGCCCAGTGGGTAGGTTCTTCAGTTGATTATCCACTGATAGGATGAAAATAAAATTTTTCACTGTTGGAAAGGAATTTGAGATTACTTGCTCTAGATGCATTTTTAGAAATGGGGCAGCTGAGGGCTGGGGATTTAGTTCAGTGGTGCCACCACCAGCCTCGAAAGCACAAAGTCCTGAGTTCAATCCCTGGTACTGCAAAAAAAAAGGATAGAAAGAAATGGGGCAACTGAGGCACCAATAATATTTATTGAGTTATAAAATAGGCCAGTTTCTATGATAAGTGATTTATGCATACTTTCAAACTTAATCTTTACTGTTTTTATTTTTACAGATGAACAGTTCATATTTGACCAAGATCACATAAATAGGAGTTGGGGGATTGGAACCTACTATGACCGACTTCAAATTAATGCAGTTTGTAGTCACTTATATAATAATGGTAAAGGCATTTTTTGCTATACAGAGTGGGTAAACTCACTGAGGGAATAAAGCAACATATGACACACATGAGGCAACATGACAGGGAAGATCAGCAGAGGAAACAAGTAGCAGAAAAGCAAGGAAAATTACATTTCCCATTTCCAAAGTAAATTTAAAAAGAATGAAAAGTAGGGCCAGGGATTTAGCTCAGTGGTGCCACCGCCTGCCTTGAAAGCCCATGGTCTTGAGTTCGATCCCCAGTACAAAAAAAAATGAAAAATAAAAGCAAAAATTGCCTGGGATTTAGCTCAGCGGTGCCACATCTGCCTGGCAAGCACAAGGTCCTGAGTTCCATTCCCAGTACCCCCCAAAAAGCAAAAATTAATGAAATAGCCAATAAAATTGATCATAATAATATCTGGTATTTGAAAAGAACAATAGACACTTTGCAAATCCAAGGAAGTAGAGAAAAAATATTGGAAACAGCTGGGTGTAGTGGCCCACACCTGTAACCCCAGCACTTGTGAGGCTGAGGCAGGAGGATCACTGTGAGTTCAAGCTCAGCTTGGGCTGGTGAGTTCAAGCCCAGACTGGACTACATAGTGAGACCCTGTCTCAAACTCCTCCCCCACTTAGAAACAAAGGAAGCATACTACATATGAGGAGACTTAGTAAATCAAAAATGAATTATGGGGCTGGGGATTTAGCTCAGTGGTTCCACCGCCTCCTTTGCAAGACCAAGGTTCCGAGTTCAATCCCTAGTCCAAAAAAAAAAAAAAAATGAATTATGTAGCCTTTACTAATAATCTTGAAAATTGACTTGAAAAATTTCTAGAAAAATATAAATTTCAAAACTTGGCTCAAGAGTTAGAAAATCTTGAACTGATAGACATGAAAGCATGTCCTAAAGTAGGGTATCATCAAAAGTCACCAGGAACAAAGCATAAAGAAGGATAGAGTGTTTCCTAACTCTACCTTTGTCAAAATTTTAAATAAACCTGTAAACCTGCAAGTGTCTGGTTGTAAAGGCTTCAAAATAATGTGCAAGGCCAGGGATTTAGCTCAGTGGTTCCTCTGCCTGCCTTGCAAACGCAAGGACCCAAGTTCAATCCCTGGTACCAACAAAAAGCAAAATAATGTGCAGATATATGTAATATGATAGTCATGATAACTTTGCAATTTTTTAAAATCTTGACTTCATTAGTAAAAGGATTGCTAAGTAAGATTACATTTACAATACAAAATATTACATACTGGTAGAAATACAATTCTGCAGGCATTAATATGGAAAAATTAAAAAAGAGTATAGACAGTGAAAATTATACAAGATACTACATATGTGACTTAATTTTTAACAATTATCTTGTAAAAGAATAAGTTTGGAGAGGATCTATACCAAATTGTTAACTGTTGGTTATAGAGCGAGAGGATGTGAAAGATGTTTTTTATATTTGTATTGTTTATTTTTTTATTTTTCTTTAATTTTTACTAAGTAAAAATGTAGAAAGAAACATGTACCATCATGCAAAAGAAAGTATTTTCAAAGAATAAGGGATTAGGAAAGATTAAAAGACTAAAACACATTGATTTGGGCAAAGGCATTGATGTACTCAGGAGAACAACTTTAATAAAATGGTCAAGATGGAAAAATCAGATTGCACAGGATTTCAAGGTAAGTGACTGACTGTAAAAGAAGGTTTTCAGTTGAGAGAAAGTGCAGAATTCCAGATAATAGGAACCGTTTGTGAGTAGGAGATGGTTTCAATTAGTAAAAATGGCTAGTCCTCCCCCCGCTTCAGTTTTTCAAAACTGAGGTGATAATTTTTTCCAACAGTCTCATTGTTGCCAAGGCTGCCCTCAAACTGCCTCTCAAGTAGCTAAAACTGCAGGTGCACACCACCCCATGTATTTTCTCTTCCTTCCAAGGCATTCTTGCTGTCTTCAGTGCCTACCTCCAAATCCTGGGGCAGCACATGGATAGTTTTGTTTCATATTTAGCTCATTCTTTTTCAGTTGCCCAACAAAGTGCTCATTTCCAGAGAGCTGACTATATTTAGGATTAGGGGAGAAATTCCAGCTTCACATAAGTTCAGTCCTTTCTTTTTTTTTTTTTGGATACTGGGGATTGAACTCAGGACCTTGTGCTTGTGAGGCAGGTGCTGAAACCACTGAGCTAAATCCCTGGCCCAGTCCTTTCTTGACAGTAACCTTTTGATTTTCTGTTCCTACTCCCAGTTTGCCTCCTTGGTCAGCTACATGTTTCCACTTCTTTTTTTTTCTTTTTTTTTGGTATCAGGGATTTTGAACTCGGGTCCTTGTGCTTGCGAGGCAGGCAGCAGAACCACTGAGCTAAATCCCCGGCTCCCCTTCAGGCATTTTTAGATGCCTTCTTAGGATTTTCCTGAATATTCTTTATAAATCTCTTTTATGGCACTTTTTTGATACTGAGAAAAACATAACTAGAATGTAGAATTCTCTTATTTTAGGGTGAGGTGTTACATGAGGTTTTTTTTCAGTATATATTGCCTTTTCTTCCCAAAGCATTATTTTTAACTGAATTACAGTGAGATTGCTTTGTATTTTCCAGATCAAAGTTGGAAGTTTTAAATAGAAAAATTACATAAGTCCAGGACATAGCAAAGTAAATATAAACTTAACAAAATCCCTGTGTTCCTTAGTCTCATCAACATCACCTCCTAATTCAAAAGATAATGCTCCATCTTCTTTGAGGCTTCCTTTAGCCTTCCTTGCTGCACTTTCCAGCACCAATTACTAGGTTCTAGCTCCCGGTGCTACATACTTTTACTTTTCTGTCTCTTTTGGAGGCTAAAATCTAATGTTGATTTGTAGATTGTTTACCATACCTGTCACTAGAATTGACTCTGGAGCATCTTTCTGTGGAGCTTAAAATATTTGAGATTGTTTTGAAGGAGAATCAACTAAAAGACCCTCTAGAGATGAGAAATCTTATGGGTTTTGTTTTTTGGGGGGTTTTTTTTGGTACCGGGGATCAAACTTGGGTCCTTGTGCTTGTGCAGCAGGTGGCGAAACCACTGAGCTAAATCCCCAGCCCCTTATGGTTTTAATTCATAGCTAAATTCAGGCAGGTGTAGATCACTAACTCACATCTAACTTTCTACCTCAAAGTAGTTAAACTGTCTTAATTCCAAATGGAACTACAGACGACCCTCAGAAAAAGCACTGTCCTTGCATTCCAAAGCTAATTCTCATGTTCTTCATATCTCATTCCAGCTGTGAGACTGAGTACCACCCCTATTATCAATCTATCTCTTCAAGGTCCTTCAATCCCTTGGTTAAATTTCCTAAGAGTAACTCATGCTGTTTAATTACTTCTCATCCACAATACCCATTGCACCCATACTAAACTGTTCTTAGGTCATTAGGGACTATTTCTTAAGCTTACCATATATTTTTACTTTGTTGACTATCCCCCCCCTTCTTTTTTCATTCACCTTTAGGTCTTTGACATCTTTCTGCAGGCCTTTTATTCCCCAGGGACTGTCCTTGACCCACTATTCTCTGCATACCTTTGGTACATTTGTAGGCATTTAGTAAAAGCTATGCGTGGTCTCCCCAGAAAAATGTCCAACAGGAAATTTTGCCTATTGGATTCATAGATCCTGTTTTAGTGCAGTGTTCATTGGTAAAGATTTACCAATTTTATTACTAGGCGCCTTTCTCCAACATTTGATAATCTCTTTAAAAGTTTTCATTTTATTCTTGGGAAAAACTTTTTTGGTTTTTTGTTTTTGGTACCGGAGATTGAACTCGGGTCCTTGTGCTTGGGCAGCAAGCAGCAGAACCACTGAGCTAAATCCCCGGCCTCTGCTTGTTTTTTTGACACGGTTTCACTGTGTAGCCCAGGCTGGCCTTCTACTGGTAGTGATTCTCCTGCCTCAGCCTCCCAAGTGCTGGGATTATAGGTGTGAGCCCCACACCCAGCAAAAAAAACCCTCAAATGCAGAAAAGAATGTCCACTTTTGTTTAAAATGTTTAGTGGCAGTTCTGATCTTCAGTATAATACAAATTACTTGACAATGCCAAAACAGTTCATAACCTATTCAAAATTCCAGCTGTGCAAAATCAATTTTTAAAAACATTAACTGTTTCAGACCTTTCCATTTCCTGTTAATTCTCCAAAGATACCCGTCTATCACTGTGGTCCACTCCTAGTTATGCTCCATACTCAAGTATCACACCTCTGTAAGTCTTTAATCCACCACTAGGTAGTTTGGTATGCCTCTATCTTGCCTTTTATCTTGAGATCTTAAGATAAAGCCAGGTTGTACAACTTCTACATTTTATCATGAACCGGAGATACCATGTACCATCTGTTAAGTACCAGGGAAAATACACAAGGAAAGCCTGCTGGTGTCTGGCACATAGTGAGTGTCCAATAAACTAGTCTGCCTCCTCCAATAAATGATGGAAAAGTTAATCTCACTCAGAGTGCCTGGCTATACTATAACAAGTACCATACTCAACGTTTGTAAAAGGTGAAGGAAAGAAAAGAAAAAGTCACATTCCAAAGTCATTCAAGAAATAGACATACAAACTAGAAGTTTCTTCATCATTCTATTTATTACATGTATGAATATTAACATCTCATGGTATCCATCTAATCAAATCAAAACCAACAAAGGAAAAAGGTTAACCATGTTTCAAGTGAACATTCTTACAGATTCTCCTGTAACTTAAAATAGAAATATGTTCATCTGCATTAAATCGTTTGACAATTTGAAAAATATCTTTTAAAAAAAATCACCTTTAGTACTTAAATATATGTTAATTGCTTGATGGCAGCAGTGTCCAAGTTCAAGAATAAAAGTTGCTTCATTAGATACTTTGCAAAAATGGACATCTAGATGGTTCTCTATAGCTGAAGATATATAACTATATATGTGTATGCAAAAATGTCCTTTTTTTAAAAATTTTCAAATCTGGCTTTTCTGTTAGAAAAGTCCTGCAATGTTCTCTCACTATCCCCCTTTTGAAGGATAAAACCACACATTGCTTCTTCAATCATGGAAAGCTACTAGAAAAAAAAAATCATGTTGAGGTTGCTTTTCAGTTCCATTTTTACCCAATAAAAAGTACAGAAACACTGTCTTTATTTGATGGTGTGCATAAATATTACACTCCATGTATAGCAAAAATATTTTTTATTTATAATTTACAGTTTGACAAGTGAAAATCGTACATTTTTACACATACAATTTCATTTCATTAAATTTGCACACATCTACAGAACTTTCACACAACAAGCACCTGAAACTGTGCAGGCAGTAGGAAATGCAAATACTAAAATGTATTTATTATCCAAATTATAGCTGAAGGCCCTGCCTCAGCTAGACAATTTATATAGATATGTCTATATATACATAAAAAAATTCTTCATCCTCTACATCCAACAGCAGCTTTAAAAAGAAAAACCTTTCATTTTATTCAAACTGACTCGACTGTATCATTTTCTGTTTTAATTTCAGGGGATGTTGTTATGCTTTCCTCTGTACAAGCTGGTGGGGTATCAATTTGTTCTTCCTTAACTTTGGGACTTTCACAGGGTTCCTGCAACTCGTTTTTGACAATGTTCAACATAATGTTCAAAGGATTTTCAACCGGTGTCTTGCTGGGAGATGGTGTACAATCAAATGAAGATGTCTACAAAATGAAAATGCCTATAAGTACTGATGAATGTTCAAAGTTTCCACATGAAAGGACATGCAGTTTTCTTCCACCCTTATCTGAGCAGAAGAACACACAAAACAAATGCACCTAATATACATGCCTTCTCACAAGACATGCCACAAAGGCAGCCAAATAATAAAATAACTGTTATTCAACATACTTGGCAAGTAGCCAAGAAGCTAACAGCTGAGTTACTTCAAGTATACAGACCAAGAGAAGTTGATTAGAAATGCTTTTGTATTTACACCCTACATAAATGGTAACCCCTACAAACACTGAGATTTTTCTGACTACTGCAATTTTGATTACATGAGGATGTTGGGTTTTTTGGGGGGGGGGTTTTGGTACCAGGATCGAACTCAGGGTCCTTGCGCTTGCGAGGCAGGCAGCAGAACCACTGAGCTAAATCCCCAGCCCACATGAGGATTTTTTTTTAAATCTCCACAAACCATCACAGAAAACCCTAATCTTTTGAGTGACCTAGAAATATCTCCTAAACTACCTTTCAAATCCAGTTTTATTGACAATCATTGTGTCCCACTGTTTAGGTTTTTTTTGGTACCAGGGATCGAACTCCAGTCCTTGCGCTTGCACAGCAGGCAGTGAAACCACTGAGCTAAATCCCTGGCCCTCCACTGTTTAGTTTTTAAAAATCAAGCTACAAATATAACAATTAGAATTTTTTTTTCTTTTGTAATACTGGGCATTGAACCCACAATGTGCTGAACTACCCCATGCCTATTTTGAGACAGGGTCTCACTAAGTTTTCCAGGCTGGCCTCAAATTTGATTATCCCACCTCAGCCCTCTGATTAGCTGGGATTATTGGTGTGCACCACCATACCGAGTAACAATTTAAAGTTTTAAGGCCAGAA